CTAATTGATCAACGGAAGAGATTCATTATTGATTAGCAAGAAGTCATAAGCCGGAACAAGCTATCTCTAACGGAAACCTCAGATTATTGTTAAAATTTCGTGATTGTGGCTAATACATGATTTTATTTACGAAAAATGTTTTCGCAATAAGTGGCGCGGAGAGCCTGCATGATTGTTACAGAAATTACAGAAGTGTGACGGAATCGAATTGTGCAACGAAAAGGAATGAGTCAGGCGCGACTCCATATATATATATCGTATCTCGACGTAAGAAGGAAACAATTCTCGTGTGCGCGCGCGCGAAATCGGCATGTCATAACACATTGCATGGAATTGACAAACGCGGCTTCAGCACGTCCACGAGAGATCCCGCGATTGCGGCTTGCCCCCGAAACGCGGAAATCTCTTTCGTTCAATAAATCACGCCGCGAATTATCAGATTGCGCAATCCTGGTCGGCCGCGGTGCGAGCATGGATGACAACGATGTCAAACCCATCGTAAGTCAGAGTCCCCGAATTGAATTAGACTGAACCGAAACTTAATTTTAATACGATCGAGAAATCTCCTCATTCGATTAATTAAAAGCTACTGACTCATCGATAAATAATGCCGTCTTAATTGACAAACGTTAAAAAAAAAAAAATAACAAAGTGAGCATACATTTTAATCACGCGTTGCTGCATCGTGACTGGTCGCTTGCAACTGTAATCCTTTCTCCATTGCAAGGATGGATAGTACATTCTAAAGATAGATTGTTAACGATTAAGTCTCGATTGAAATAAATAATTACCTATTTAATTTTCCTTTATCTCAGACTTTGTACTTTTTTTTATCTCGTTCCAACGTGCTTAACTATATAAATCCCCGTGCGCATTGTGTTCTCGATCTTACGACTGCGAGTCACCTGTGAAAACGGATTCGGGCAGAATCATTGCGAATCTGTAACGAAACCGACTGTCGGTTGTGTATTTCCCTGTCGCGAATCGCGCAATACGCCTCCTTTCAAAATTAATCCGGCGGCCGCGCGCGCGCGCGCGTGCGATGCGCCCGAACAGGAAGAGCTTTCAAATTTCTTTCGCAACGAATCTTGGGCAAGCCGCGGCGCCATCCGAGCGCGCTTATTATATACCGGGCCCGCAATTAGTTACGGCCGAAGATTCCGGCCAATTACGTTAACCAGGTTGACTCGCGGTATCCAGAGCGCAAATGCGCGGCAGCGGATTACGTCTGCGTTCTCCTGCCACGTTCATTGCGCGCGAAGTCGCCGAACAATACGAGGTGAGAGTTTCGCGGGACACCCGACTGATATGAGTGCACACGATGTCATATTACCATTAGCGAGCAAAATTTTGCCATAGGTTAAGCCTCGATGAATTTGAACATCGCACCTTTCTTGATGGGAAATTTCTTGATGGGTATACAGAAAAAAAAAATTAGCCTAAAATCAAAATTATAGATAAACATGAATATTATACTCTTCACATGGAAGATTTTTCTTGGCCAAAATAATACTTGTATCAACATAAATTCAATCAAATTGAGAGCAAAATTTTTAAGAAGAAATTTTTTTAACATTCTTGATTTCATATATGAGAGAATATTTGTCTTGATATTTAAGAATATGTTTTTTTCTACGTAGCGAGCTCATTTTAGAATGTTGACAGTATTTAATTAAGTATCCAGACGATTGATTCTCAAATAAAATTTTTTATCTTATTACAAAATCGTTAGATTATAATTTTATTCAAGAAAATTTACATCATAGAGATAAGAAAGATTAATGTCAGTTACGTGCCGAGTACCGTCATCGATTAAAACTTCACCGTTTTTATTCTAATTAGATTCATCCCGCGCGCAATGACTGTCGACTTTATGCCCTGAATGCTATGCGGCCCACAATTTTTCTAGGATGGTGCGTATCGCTTGCTTAGTAACGACACGGTCAAATCGCCGAGCTAATTGACTGGCGCTTTCGTGTTCCGCGAGAATCTTCGCAACGAGAGCGCGAACCGGCCGTTTTGCATCCGCGAAAGATCTGGCCGTAAAATGCATTAAACACGTCTTGGAGCGTCGTATCCAAGAACGTAATGGCGCATATAAATATCACGGATCGGCTCCCGTGAGGATTCGCGCGGATAAAGATGAGATTTTATTACGTGATGATTGCGTACGTGACGCCGCGATCGCGTCGAAATAAATTACGTTACGCGTTCTCGGAGGGGGCGGGGGGGGGGAGAAAAAAAGATAGAGAAGAAGAAAGAAATCGATTCGTATAGGTGAGGTGTCCGAGAAATGTCGATCTCAAGGACAGAGAGATTGCGCTAAAAGGAAAGGAAAGAGGCGGGCGGCGCGCGAACAAGCTCGCCCCGACGAATGGGTAATCGCGCGCGCGCGCGACGGAAAG